AATTCGCTAAGTTTTTTCTTCGGAGAGCAAAGAGGAGTGCTGAAAATGAAATTTTATACAAAGGATGCCTCGCGTGCCAGCGACTGTTCTGGCGGAAACAAGTTACGAACGAGCGAATGAACGACCGTCGTTTCGACGGCAGTCAATCGTATTGGAGCGCGAGAAACAGGTGGGCGCGAAAAGGACGGCGGGGCGGCGAAAATGGCGGGTGATGAAACAGCTGTTTTAGCGCGCGCCGCGCCATCTGGCGGGGCGCGCGCGCGACACGGCACGCTACGGCAACGAAGAAGACAACGGCGGCGGCAGCAACGACGGCGACGGCGGCGGCCGCGAACGAGCGGACAAGAGTGAGACGTATACGTGTCGTAAGCCGTTCGTGTCCGCAGTTCGGGTCGCAGTGGTCGACGGCGGCAATTGAGACGGAGACATGGCTGCCGGCTGTTGCGGCACGAAAAAGCAGAAGCTCAACAACTCCGCGGGCGTACCATGCAACGGCACGGCGGTGCTGTCGAACGGCACGCGTATACGTAACACACCGATCGTGCAGCCCGAGATGGGCTTTTACTGCTTCGACGTCCTCTACTGCCAACTGCACCAACTTGACCCACCAAAACCGCCCAACTTCAGCAACGAAGCATTGTGAGTTTGAGCCACCGCCACTGAGAGCTAGTCACCTTAGCGCGTCCAACATATCCCTTCCTCCCTGTTCCGACTATCGCGAGCCGCATCCCTCTCTCTCACGCTCGTGACTTTCCCGTGCGCGCCTTTACCCCCACCCTACCCCGCCCCGCCCCGCTCCTTCTCTGTCGGTTCCGTTCCATCCTATTCTGCTCCGTGTTTCCACCTCTTTCTCTTTCGTATCATAATACTTTTTCCTCTCTTCTGTTACTGTCCTTTTTCTCCTGTCACCCACGCCAGTGCGTCTCTTTGTTGAATCCGCTATTAGTTTTGACTTGAACCATCGCTACGCGGAGTAAGAGATGGAGGGGGGGGAGGAGGGAGGACGATGAGGACGTCGGTATGTGTTTTCTGAAGGACGCGACTTGTATTTTAAGTCTTCTGATCGGTCTGGTTAATGCCGCTGACCTCCCGTCGAGGTTATACGAGACGCCGGCATTGTTTTGCTTCTGAATAATTTATCAGCATGTAAACGTTTTTTGAAATTTATTTCTGTTTATTTTTCTCAGCTTCTAATCTTTCATAAATTTACTCATGTTCCATTCCATTCTATTGTCTTTCCATTTAGAAAATAATTATTGATCATTAGCTTCATATATTTTAATATTAGTAAACTGCATAAAGATAATAATAATAATAATAAAGCACCATTTAAATATTGATTTAAACAAATCTGATTATTTAACAGTGTGATAATAAAGTTGTTACATATTCAGTTTACAATTTTTTATATAATAGAAAATTAATTAATGCCCAATTATTTTTTTATTAATAATTTTCTCATTAATTTTTCCATGTTTTTCTAGTCCCTTATTTGTAACATGGACTATTGGAAAGGATATGCGACTACGTGGCTGTATTGGTACATTTAATGCTATGCACTTACATGCAGGGCTTAGGGAATATGCTACTACTAGGTAATATATGTTTTATTTGATTTAATCGAGCTAAAATCTGGAATTATATTTTTAAGCAATCGATCGTGTTTTGCAGTGCTTTCAAAGATTCACGATTCAATCCTATAACGCGAGAGGAACTTCCACGCTTACATGTAAGCGTTTCTATATTGCGGCATTTTGAAGACGGCGTGGACTACTTAGATTGGGAGATAGGAGTCCATGGGATTCGCATAGAGTTCCATAATGAAAAAGGCAACAAGAGAACTGCTACTTATTTACCTGATGTTGCGACTGAACAAGGTTCATAAATATACACATGTAGAATATTGTAAATTTATTCAATAATCATCTTTTCTAAAGACTGGTATTTATAATAATTTTTTAAGATCATCTTAAGTAAGCTTATACGTTTGTCTTATTGGAATGTAATCTTAAAACAATTTCAAATATAAAAATTGATTATAAATACCGGTTTAAATGTATGTTTAAAATAAAAACTAATTTTCGCTTTTTTTCTTGTAATAGGTTGGGACCAGATACAAACTATAGACTCGCTATTACATAAGGGTGGTTACAAGGGGTTAGTTACACCGGATATTAGACGCAGTGTAAAACTGACGCGATATCAGAGTGAGAAGATTACTGTAAGCTACCAAGACTACATGACACATTGGCATAACCGACGATGCTAGCAGCTGGCTTGGGGTCCTATCCAAGGGCCCCTACCTTGCCAAACGCCTGGCACATTTTGTTACAAAAATATTTCAGACACAGTTAATACGTCTTATTCACAATACAGTACCACTCAATACAATTCTTTCATGGCCAATCAGCAGCATACATTAGTTATGGTTCAGCCGAATCACCCCTCATTTATACATACACTTCCGCTGCCACCAATTCCTCCGGTTGTGGTACCAATGCAAAACTATCCACCATTCTGATGGAATTACGCGTACCGCATCCTTCAGTACGCTATATCATTATTCTTTACAAACTTTTGTAATACAGAGAAGTGAATTAAATGAAATGCATGAAAGAATATAATACTGAAGGCGGTTGTTATGTATTGTCTTCTATTACTTGAATTGGTGTCTATTATATTTTGATTGTTTATCAGCATTTATTATCTCTATTTCTTATTCATTGTCAGTTCTTGTATAATTTATTCGTTTGCGAAAGAAATGCGGAAAAATACAATATTGAGTATGGTGGCAATGTTCTTCCAAAATATTTATTGTAAACATAAATAATATTATCGGCATAGTAACATTTGTATATGATAGAATCTTGTTCTCATATTGTACAATTTTATCATTGTTAAATTTGAATTGAAAACAAAAAAATCTATGTGCGTGCAACAATGCAAGTTTAGTTTTCTGTCAAACATTTGCCTAGCCATTGATCGTCATTGATTATAATAAAATGTAAATATACTATTATAGCTTTGCCATCATGCTAGGACGTTAGATACACATTAGTATTTCTGAAATGAATGATGCGGAGAATTTCCGAATACACAATATTGTCCATATAATAAGTTGTGACTATATTAGTCCATCCATTCGATAATGCACAGTGATTATGGTTGCTTATCTTTGTTCATTTAAAACAGATAAATTAATAGATAAATGATCAGAAAATATTTCCGAATAATGAAATATTTTGTTTTTTAAATAACATTTAGAGAAAAATTTAATTGAAACATTTTGTAGAACAGTACGTATACACTAGAACATAAAAATTATTTTCTTTCTAAGATATAATCATTAATTCATACTTGCGTAACATTTGACACAATAAGACGTCTGAATAGAATTTCTTTGCATCAATGGTATAAATAAAAGTCTTCGTTAAATTAGTATTACATGGTGTATTGTACTGATTTATTTATGAACGTTAATTCTTTTATCTATTCTGAATAATATATACAGATTGTACACTGAAACACAAAAGAGATATATGATATTGTACAAATTTGTAATATTATATATTTATACCATTCCTACAATGAAGTTAATGGCGTTTAAATTATAGTCCAAAGTTTTATTACAGCAAAGGATTCTTTATATGAACAATAATAATTTAATAAAATTATTATATCTAATGATTTTTTTTAATCAGTTTTAATGTCTTGATATGAGTTTATCTTATTTCATTTCGATATCTTTCAAAAATGTTTATTAAATATTATATATATTTATTATATGCGATTTGTTTAAATTTTTATTTTTACTTTAGTTAAATGAGGATATTTGATGAACTTTAGAATGGGACCTCTACTGTAAATAGGCAATGGACTA